ATTGGTACCACATACATTTGCATAAAGACAAGTTGCATTCTATGTTGCATTCTTAGTCGTTGTATGGTTGATTTGATTATGCTTATGTTCTTAAAATCTGAGAAGTGGTGAATATGTATGAACTGATACTAATGTTTTATTTATCATAAGTTTTATTGTCTAGTTCAATATCTCACCTCTTCTGTTTGAATGTTACCCCTATGTTGGTAACGTGCAGGTACTCCAGAGTAAATGCGGTTTACCTTCAGTAGTTAGAGTCAGTGTCATTGCTCGGATACGTAACACTCGGGGAGATGAGCGCTTGTTATTTTATTATTTTTATTATTAAGTTGTTTCACTTTAAGTTGTTGTTCGTCAAATAACTATTATTTGAAGTTGTTTTAGTTGGATAAAGATGTTATATTCTTTAAGTTGAATAATTGATTCCGCTGCGTGGTTATGAAAGTTTTTGGTTTTAAAAAATTAATTTATGTTGTTGTTGGTTCATCCAAGTTTAATGTGTTATGTATCTGTAATGAATGTCGTTGTTTTTAAGTTGAATTTGTAGAATCCCGATTTGGTTATCGAATTTTTGTAATTCTGATTTTATATAATTGTCGGGTAGAATTGGGGTGTTACAATAACAACCAATAAAAACTATTATTGTCGAGATTTAACAAGATAAGAAGACATTGGTCTAATGTGGTCGAATGTCATCGATATCTTCTTTTGAGTGTGGTGTTTTGTTGTTAAACTTCGATAATTAGAACAAAATTTAAATTATGATAAGCTAACAACAATAACAACATGAACTTAAGAAATATAAATATGTGTGTATATAGATTAAGTTAATACCTTATGATTAATCCATCCATTTGTAATGTATGGAGATAATATAGAGCATATATTTTATAACATAATATCCACAAGAATAGTCGTCAGGTTGTTGTCGCTATTACAAATAACTTTCATATGTTTATATCACAGTAATACACATAAATAATATAATTGAAAAAGCTACAAACAATATACTTACTTTTGGGTACACATAGATTGGCTTTTTACCAAGTAAATTTTGTTTGGTTGCATTATATTCCCCCACCGCTCTATACATATCGATTAAAATTAAACATGAATAAAAACTATTTAGATATAAAGTTAAAAATAATGTTTCATGACATAGTGAAAAAGACCATAATCATTTATGAAAATGAGCATGAAATAATATAGACCTAGTAACATTCAACAAGTGTATGTGTTTTCTTTCAACAATGGAGTTATGTTGAGGTGTTTTAATGCATGATCTTTGTTGCAAAATGCCAAGGGATGCATAATATGAAGGCATAATGAATTATGCACCATTATCACTTCTTATGGTTTTGATAGTGCATGAAAATTGATTTTGACAGTATTTAATAAAATTTTGAATATGTGTTATGGTTTCAGCTTTACTATGCATAAGAAAATTCCATGTATAACGTGTGAAATCATCAACAATAGTAAGAAAGTATTGGAAATTATCTAAAGATTGTGAGGAGATAGGTCCCCATATATCCATGTGTACTAAGTCAAAACAATTAGAAGTAATAAAGTGACTGATGGGAAAGGGAAATCTAGTTTGTTTAGCTAAATGAGAATCATGGAAAAGTAAAGTTTTATTGAATTTGTTATCAGAGAAATTTTGAGACATCTGCTGTAAAACCTCATTAGAGGGATGGCCTAATATATGGTTCCATACATCTAAAGGGGCGGGGGTAATCATATTGATTAAACTATCAGAAGTACAAGCACGAGTAGTGTTTTTATTAGGAGATAAATTGTGAATTGGTTCTATGTGAAGTATGTAGAGATTTTATGATGAACCATTTGTCCAATACTCCTCTTGGTAGACACATCTTGTATAGAACATGAGCTTTGTGAGAAGGAAATGGTGAAATTAGAGTTATTCTGAAGTTTAGAAATGGAAATAAGGCTAAAGTTAAACTCGGGAATATAAAAACATCAGTAAGTTTAATGAGTTGATCCAATATGGTTGTGCCAAAAAAGTTAACAGTGATGCAAGTTCCATTAGGTAGATAAATCTTAACAGGAGTAATTATACTTATATAGGTAAAGCATCGTATATAGGGGTAGACATGGTCAGAAGCACCTGAATCAAGGATCCACATAAAATAATTGTTAATAAAATTACTTGTATTGATAATACCTGAAATTATGTGGTTGTCCTTAGAAGTAGATGTATCAGTCTTGTTGTCTTTTGTTGATTGTTGTAGCAGCTGAAGCAAATGTTGGTAATCTTCCTTGGAGATGACTCCATCTTTGTCTGAGTTCTGTGTGGATTTTGATTTTTCATCATTCTTGGAGTTTTTGTTGCGATATCCAGGTGGAAAGCCATGCTTGAATTATAAGTTTTCCTTTGTATGATTAGTTTTATGGCAGTTGGTGCAGAACACGAAATTTTTGGAGTTGTTGCCCCGTGCCTTGCCACGACCATTGATGGAGTTGTTGTTAGCATATAGTATAGTAGGGTAAACAGTAGGGGAAGTGGTGGAAACAACTTCTTGTTAAGCTATGAGAGATTAAGCCCTACTGATGATGGGGAGGGGATCGAGCAGCAAGATTTGGGTGTGAATATTGTGATATGTGTCATTCAATCCTTTGAGAAAGCAAGATACATATTCCATGTGTTTGTAATTGTGGACAACTTGAACTAAATTGCAGATGCAAGGAACGGGGCAAGAAGAAGCATGTGTAGGTCGAATATCCTCAAGTTCGTCCCAAAGAATTTTCAAATCAATGAAGTATTGAGAAAGGAATATGTCACCTTGTTTGATAGAACAAAGATCACGAAGAAGATCTGATAATTTGAAGTGGTTGTCTTTGGTGAATCTTTCTTGAAGATTATTCCAAAGATCAAAAGTAGAGTCGAAACAAGTAGTGCTTTGTGCAATATAAGGGGAAATAATGTGGTTGATCCTAGAAGTCACCATATTATTTGCGCGATCCTAAATATCGAAATTTGAATCTGCATGAGAAGGTTTGGGAACGATGCCATTGATGAAGTCAAGCTTATTCTTTGATGTAAGCGTGTGACACATCAATCTGCTCCAGTTGTGGTAGTTGTGATCGTCCAGTGGTAGGGTGACCAAGATTGCACTGTGGTTTTCGTTGGGATGAAGGTAGAAAGGGCTTCTTGGATTCAAGGCGAGGTCGGGTTGAGAGTTGGTGGTTGAGTCGTTTTTGGGAACGTCTTTGGTGTCTGAATCATCAGAATCCATGGAAGATGCAGAAGTAATGCATAAGATTCAAGGAAAGGGATAAAGATGAATTGAGGGAAATGCGGATACTTTGAAATTTGTAGGGTTTTGGGTCTCTTTATACCATATTACAGTTTATGAAAATAGGCCCAATGTGAACGGTTTTCCATTAGGACTAAAATGCAATGAAACGAGAATTTAACCTAAAACCTCGTCCCTGATTATACCTGGCACCCCCCGAAGGTATGAAAAGACCAAAGTAGCCCAACCAAAATATTTTTCAGAAATTCCAAATTCTCGGTACCACGCTGCATTTTTCAAATTCACTGGGCGATATCGAAGATTTCGAAGAGATACCGGAAATTTTGTGAAATAGTAAAAAAAATTATGGTATATTTGTGCAATTTCTGATATTTCGTACCGGAAATTTCAATATTTCTAATATATGCTAATCGGAAATTTTGACATTTCTGGGTTTTGTCTTACCTTTTGTATCGAAAATTTGAAAATTTTTGGAACTTTACAGCATGTACCAGAAATTCCAAAATTTATGGTAGTTCATATTTATTTTTTTGAAAAATTTCCAGTAGTTCACATTTTCCTAATTTTTTTCTATTTTTTTATTGTTTCAATGAGGACCAGGGGTAAAGATGGTTTTGTTGCGGGCAGGGCGGTCGATAGAGCGGAAGTTCAAGCCCGGGCTGACGAGGCACATGCTTCCGAGCTACGGGTTGGTAGACTTCCTCCGACCGGTTCACACCGGAAACAGATGGCTGAGCAGCAGACAGAGTTCTGTGCACCCCACCGTCAGGGTGTTAGAGGATCTACTGCTAAGGAGGTACATGATTCTGCTCCTAGAAAGGAATGTGTTACCATCTGGAAGCTTGAATTCAACAACAGGGTTGCTTTCTTTGTAATGCACTTCTGTCTTAATTAGAAATTGAGGAAGAGGCGTTTTTTGAGATGTTTTTCTTTATAGCATTTGCCCCTATTTATACAAATGACAATGCATTCTAGACTACACAAATTTGTCGGTGCAATCAGAATCCTCCAAAGATGTTGGCAAAATCCCGGCCGTTGAAAAACCTTGAATTCATTAACTACCAAAAATTCCAGTATATTTGAAATTTCTGGTACTCACTAGTAAATTTAAAATTTACGGAATACCGAAAATTTCAAATGTATTACCGGAAACTTACACAACTAGAAATTTTTCAAAGGTGTACCGGAAATTTTCTTTGTAATCGGAAATTTTGATGCTCCTACCAAAAATTTCCTTCGGAAATTCTTTGTATCTCATCAAGGATAATTCTGAAATAATTAAAATTAGAGTATTAGGTTTAATTTAGGGGATGACATGTTAAATCCTCCGATGAATTACTTATAAAGGCGGAAGAGTTCAATCACTTATATAGATGAGAAGAGGCTCTTACTAAAATACAAAGTAATCTGGCCCAATAACCAGAATAAACCCAAAGGGGGAAAAATAAAGCTAATATCTAACCACACTAAATATAAAAAAGAAGTTAAGCTTCTAATAGTTTCTGCTGCTAAATTCAACATCATTTCTTTTGGCAGTTCTCATCGATACTTTTTCCTCCAACTCATACCATATACTCTTAGGTAATACTATAGTCTATACAGTAATACAAGTAATGGTTTTTCTTTAAAATTTCACTACATGAACACATTCACAATTTAAAACCTTGCTCCAAACTTGACATATATAATTTACATTCACAAACATGAGAAAGCAACTGAATTTCAAACATAGCTTTTAATGGAAGAACTATAACCACTAAGAACATCATAGTACCTAGACCACAACATAACACCGCCATATTTAGCAGAACCTTTAATAGCCGGAAGCACAATTGAAGTAAGATTATCAACAGGTATAAATCCACTCCCTGCCGCCTCTATAGAAGCCGGTAGCCCCAAAAATATCTTCTTAACAGGTACATCTAATGTCCACTTCTTCCACGCATCTTCAAAGCTGCTAAACTCACCAATATTGTATTCACAAGAAGGGTTATTATAGAATTGTACCCAAACATAATCAAAAAGTCCTGACATAAGAGCATTTCCTAACCAAGCATCAGGAAATGGACACTGAGGAGCTGCGGTTATGTAAACTTTTTTCCCGTTATACGCTTTAAGGAACCTGGCAAGATCACTCCAATGTTGGTTTGACGATCCTCCTTCGATGTCAAAGTCGATGCCATCAAGAACAGCAGGACCGAGAGGACGAGACGAAGAGTTTCCGCCTAAGTAATTGTTCCAAAGGTAAGTTGCTACAAGGCTTGCATCTTCTGTGGACTCAAGTGGGTAGCTACCTTTGTCTCCTCTTAAAGAGAGCAATACTTTGATTCCTTTAGATCGACAGAAATTGATGTCTGAGGATAAGGCAATACAACCATTAGTACTATGTGGATCACAATGACCTGCTAATTAATCATGGTTGGAGTTTGGGTTGGTAAGACAAAGGTTGGTAAGAAGGCTATGATCACGTATTCATAGTTTCTTGTGGCACAAGTTTCAGCTAAGGTGCCTTCATTGCCATTTTGGCCCCAGTAGATCACAATATTGCCAGCATTTGAACAATTTGCTAGTACTAACAAGACTAATGAGATGGTTAAGACTGAGATTGGTGATTTTTGTGCCATTGCTGATTTAGAGAATATCTGATGAAGGAATTAATGTTAGGATGGTTCTATATATGCCAAGTGTTTGTGAAGAAAGGATTATCTAAAGTTCATATTTTCCAACCCTCATTCATTAATTTCCACATAAAAACGTGGCTTCCCGGCCACTCTAATAAAATGTTATAACAATTGATGCTGACTTCGTGTGTGGAATTAATGTACTAATTTACCGTTCATTTGGCATTATTCATCACATATGATAGAATTAAAATACAAGTCTAATGGAAAAGAGTGCCAAACTACCTAGACATAATTGTTTCTCTTGATAAACTAGATAAACTTGATAAACGTCAAGTAAGTTTTAGATTTTTTTTTTTAAACATGTAAAAGGGTTATCATATACTTTTGCCACATTTTGACAACTAATCGGTTTGTGTTATTGTTTGTCTTATTTAACCGGAGAGAGTCACAATACTATAAAATATCTCTTTTATCTTATTTTAAATAAATATATATATAGAGTGTAATAAAGGGCGTAATGAATAATTATTATCTTTCTTTCTGAGTAAAGTTTCACCAAGGAGAAAAGTGGAACTGACCACGAGTTCAATTCGCAGTAATAATATTTTTTGGATTTACAAAGCGTGTTACTTTTTTCATCCATTGGAATTAATATCCGATGAGAAATACTCTATTTACAAAATTTTAGTTTTAACCTATTTTTTCGTTTTAATCTGCAAAACATCAAATTCGTAATTCTGAATTTTCCTCTTCATCATCAACAACAACAAAAAAATCAATAGAATATTTAAGCATTAAATCTCAACAACAACCACAACAACAAAATCAATAAAATCGTTACATTAAATCTCAACAACAACAACAAATAAACAAAATCAATAAAGTTGTTAAATATTAAATCTCAACGGTAAGAACAATAATATTCAACATTTTATATTGATATAACAACAACTAACATTAATAAGTTACATTCATGTTTTTCTAACTAACATTAAACATTAGAACCAACATTAAAATTACAAGAGAAGAGATTATATGAGATGGTTATACATGTCGGTTCAGCAATTTTTATTCAAACTAAAAAAGTTTGACTTTTATTGTTTCGGGTCAATTTTGTAACTAAACTGGAGTACATCAATTTTTTTCCGAGTGGATTTGGTTTAAATTTTTAATTTGTTTGATTTTGTCAAATTCGTGTATGCCTCTAAACACCAGATTAATCATATATATATATATATATATATATATATATATATATATATATATATATATATATATATATATATATATATATATATATATATATATATATATATATATATATATATATATATATATATATATATATATATATATATATATATATATATATATATATATATATATATATATATATATATATATATAAGAATATGGTTAATTCATACAGTTAAATTAACCATAATTTTAACTGAGAATTGAAATAAACATCTGATCAACTATCAACTGTGTGTAAAATTACTTCCTACAAAAATAGACGATGGAGAGCTTTAGACAAGAAACCATGCAGCTTAGAGTGTTTTGATTCTACATGTTTTGGCTGCAAGATAGTGAGTGTACTCATCTAGATTCATCTTTGAGGGCATGTAAGACTCGTTATTGTATAGTGTCTAAAATTTAATTGTGGTTAAATAAAATCTCATAAAATGTTTGTCTCGATTAAACAGTGGTTAAATAAGACGTGTACTTATTTATCATGGTTAAACAGCAACTAATCTATACAGAATCTTCAAAAACTTGAGACAACCTTAAACTCCTCATCTTCTCTTATCAATAACCAATAGTTTGAAGAATCACATCTCAGTTTTCTGGCTTCATCTCTGCTTTTCATAAAATTATGTTCCAACTTTATTTCATATTCATATATTTGTGTTAGAGTTCAAAAGTTTTCATCATTTGAAATATAGTTTTTGCTCTTTAGAATAACATTCTTTAGCCCACTAATACATTTTAGTATCTTGATAGGGAAATCAACTGTAGAGTGAATTCAGTTTCAACTTCAACAAAACATGTTCATATTATATAAACTTAATAATATTTACACATACACGAAATGACGAACAAGTAGAGAAATAAACATGAGATATTAGAAATAGATTACTACAAGACGAGTATAGATTTCAGACATGGGTCTTGATGGAGGAGCTATAACCACTTTGAACATCATCAAACCTAGACCACAACATAACACCCCCATATTTAGCAGAACCCTTAATTGCTGGAAGCACAGTAGAAGTAAGATCCGTTGCAGGAATAAAGCCACTTCCCGCAGCTGTTGGAGAAGCAGGTAATCCTAAGAATATCTTGTTTGCAGGAATACCTGATATCCACTGCTTCCACGCGTCTTCAAACTTGCTAATTTCATTAGGATTGTATTGACAAGGAGGGTTATTGTAGAATTGTACCCAAACATAATCGAAAAGGCCTGTTGTAAGTGCATTTCCAATCCATGCATCAGGAAATGGGCACTGAGGAGCTGCAGTTATGTAAACCTTCTTGTTATACCCTTTAAGGTACCTGGCAAGATCTCCCCAATGTTGGTTTGATCCTCCTTCGATATCGAAGTCAATTCCGTCAAGAACAGCAGGACCAAGAGGGCGAGAAGAAGATTGGCCTCCTAAGAAGTTATTCCAAAGATAAGTTGCAACGTTACTTGCATCTTGTGAGGAAGCAATTGAGTAACTTCCAGCACCTCCTCCTATTGACAGCAATACTTTGATGCCTTTGGCTTGACATGATTTGATGTCTGAAGTTAAGCGGGTACATTGGTTACTGTATGGATCACAATGACCAGCTAGATTGATCATGGGAGTTTGGCCATGGCCGAAGGTTGGTAAGAAGGCTATGATGACGTATTCATAGTTACCTGTGGCGCAAGCCTCAGCTAACGTGCCCTCGTTTCCGTTCTGGCCCCAGTAGATTGCAATTTTGCCAGCATTAGAAGCATTGGCTAGTGCTAGCAAGACTATAGATAAGAAGGTGAATGAAATTGTTGATTTGAGTGCCATTTTCATGTGTGTTTTTGTTGTCTTTTATGTTGCAAATCATAATGGTGGGTGTGGCTTTTATAAGGATGAATGTTACAAAAATGTGCTCTTTTTCCTCATATGAACGTTGCCTGGGGTTCCCTCTTTTATACGCAGTCATTGCATTCGACATCTCTCTTGTCTACTTGTTGCTACTCTTTTTCTTTAGGGTTATGTTTTTCAGCTACTTAAAACAGAAAAGTAGTCACAACTATTATCAAAATAACTTTTCACACTCAATTCAATATTCTTTTAATCATATTCAAAAGTATAGTTGGAAAATGTTAAATTACTTTTTAAAATTTTAAAACTACTAGTGTCAAAATAAAAATAAAATGTTAAAATATCTAACTAACACATGGAAGGAAGAAAAGAATAGATTTGTTTGAGAAAAAAATAAGGTATTGGAAAAGATTGATGGTAATGTTAAGTATTGTGATGATAGTAACATGTTCGATATATAAATATATTCACAAAATTAATTGGAATGAGCATATGTTAGATTAACTAATAAAAACATCCGATCTATTTAGTTAAGAATACTATATCACATGTCATAAAAAAATATTTTAAATTTATTATAATTTTTTATTTAAATAAATATAAATAATTTTATTATTATTACTATAATTATCTTGAAAAATTTATAAACAATATTATAAGTTGTTTTCATAAATTCTCTCAAATAAAATATATCATAAAACTTATGTTACTAGTTAAGCTTAATTAAATTAATACAAACAAATATTATATCTTATTATTCTTTTAATTTGTTGATCTATTTAAATTTTAAATGTTAGTTGAATTGTTTACTTATGAAATTTCAAATTAAATAGGTTTTAAGTAGGCTAATATAATAATCCAACAAGATTTTCGAAGATGTCAAATTCAAACTAAAAAATAAGCTGATGACAGATTACATTAAACTTAAGCTTTAATTTTCTTTAGCAGGTTAAGTTTAAGTTTGAAATATTCTTGTTGTATGTTGGCCAACTTGGCATTTAATGAACACGTCACTCAGTTTTATAATGTTCATTAACAGTAATTTTATGAGTAATGTTTGACAAAATTAAAGAAGTATTTGTAATATTATAGTCTCATACATATTTGAAAATATCATACAAAGTTGAGACTATTTTGGTGGTTTAGTCACTTTTTTTATCACACTTTTCCCATTTGTAGAGTAAATTCAACCAGTGTTGTCAAATTGCGGCCATAGCGGCGCTATGGTGGATTGTGGTTGCGGATTTTTAACATAGCAATATGGAAAAGCCATGGCGTTGCGGATTTTGTATTGCGTTGCGGAAATTACGAAAATTGCATTTTTTTCAAAATTTTTAAAATTCTTGTCTGGTTCTGTTTTATCCGATCAGTAAACAGGCCCAAAAGAACTATAATTATGGTTAAATACTAATAATCTCCATTAAATACTCTAATTAAATATTTATAAAACCAAAACCTACAACCTTTCTATTCTCCACAGAATCTTCTCCCCCAGTCTCTCCTCTCTTCTCCCGCTTCTCCACAGATTTTTCTTCTCTATCTGTTTCTCGTATCTTCTTACACAACTATCAGGTACTCTTCTTCTTCTTCAGTTTTTTTCTCTCTTATTTTTTATTTCTTTTAATTTTTATTCTTTCCCACACTTCTCTCTTTTTTGTTCTACTTTATTGGTTCTTCCTTTTATTTTTCTCCTATTCTGTTTTTTAGTGTTGTATTTATCTCTTTTAAGTTCTCTCTTTTTATTTTATTTTCTACCGTGTAATTTTAGACAATGTCTTAAAATCAAGAAACCTCCCTAACCTCTAGGGTTGACGGTTCAAAGAGAAGTGATCCTAGATGAAAATATATAGATTATCGAAGGGTAATTTAGTATTTAGTATTTTTAGTTGTTTTGATAACTTAACTATTAAGTTTATTTATTAGGGCATATGT